GGACTGGGAAGGGGAACTGGGGGGGTTTGGGGGGGATTTGGGGGGATTTAGGGTGGGATGGGGGAGGATCTTGAGGTCGGGGGGGGTAGGGGGGGGGTCCTGGGGGGGAATTTGGGGGTCCTGGGAGCATCTGGGGGATTCTGAGGGGATCTGGGGCAATAAGGGGAGACATTTGGGGTCCTGAGAGAGCCGTGAGGGGGATTTGGGGGTCCCTGGGAGGGATTTGGGGTCCCTGGGAGGGATTTGGGGGTCCCTGGGAGGGATTTGGGGGTCTCTGGGGCCATTTTGGGGTTTCTGGGGCCATTTTGTGGTCTCTGCTGAGGTTTTGGGCCAGTCTTGGGGGATTTTGGGGTGTCTGGGAGGGATTTTGGGATCCGTGGGGCCATTTTGGGCTGTCTGGGATGGATTTTGGCATCTCCAGATGAATTTTGGGGTCTGTGGGGCCATTTTGGGGTGTCTCGGATGGATTTTGGCATCTCCAGATGAATTTTGGGGTCCGTGGGGACATTTTGGCGTCCCTGGCTGGATTTTGGATTCTCTGGAGCCGTTTTTCTGAGTCTCTGGGCTGGATTTTGGGGATCTCCAGCCGGATTTTGGGGTGTCCCTGGGCTGGATTTTGGGGTGTCCCCACAGACCCTGGTGACCGCCGTGGTCCAGCTGGTGGTGGCCGAGCCCGGGGGGGTCCCCGGGGGTCCCGGGGGGGTCCCGGGGGGCTCCTGGAGCCTCCGGGGCTGCGGCGTCGCCTGCCTGGTCCGGGACAGCCCCCGGCGCTCCTACTTCATCCGCATCTTCCGCCTGCCCGTGAGTCTGGGGGACCCCAAATCCCGGGGGGACCCCAAATCCCGGGGGGACCCCAAATCCCGGGGGGACCCCAAATCCTCGGGTTGGGATCCTCCAAATCCTGGGGTCCTCAAAATCTTGGGGAGGGGGAGTCCCTAAACCCAGGGGGGTGGGTTCAGGACAGCCCCCGGTGCTTCCACTTCATCATCCTCCTCTTGAGGGGGGTCCCTAAATTCTGGGGGGGGTCCCCAAATCCCGGAACCCCAAATCCTGGGGGGAACCCCAAATCCTTTGTGGGGGATCCCAACTCCTGGTGGGGAGTCCCCGAAATTCCAGGATGGGGGGAGATGAAGGGGTTGGGGTTGG